TGATTTTAGATGGCATTTTATTTGTTCTCGCAGGGTGGATGGTTTTGCACATAGTACAACACCCTGAGAAATTTGGCTTAAAACCCCAAGCACGAATTAAAGTAATAATCCCTAAAGCTGTGACGTATTATTTTATATGTTGTTTATGTGGTGTTATTCAATATAACATTTATTTAGGTTACAAACGCTTCCGCAATTTAAAGATAGCTCATAGGGATTGAACCATTGAATGGTTAAAATTATATTGCCTAGAAGACAGGTTTTGATATTATATTGGGTTTCTTAGACCATGAGTCTATGTTTTTTGAGGAATAAACTCATATGCCTAGTGCAGAGTCTTCTTAGGTACAGAAGTTGTTGCATTTTTAGGTGGACTAAAGATACTACCATGCCATTAGGTTAATTAATGCTTCTATTAGTGATACTATTCAGGGTGGTATTCTGGTTTTTGATACTGCTAATGAGTTTCTTGATTTTATCAAGAATTAGTTAATGGGCACTAAGAAACAAGTACAATACTATAATTTGACATAATTTATATTAGTAAGATATGATGGCAATGGTTCAGTGAGGGAGTACATCTATAAGATGTGCAAGCTAATTAATGATTTGAGGTAGTAGGGAATCATATTTGATGATAAGTTATTTGTCCACTTGGTAATCTATTCTCTACTTAGGTTTTTCAGCTTTTCAATGTGAATTATAATTCACAAGAAGTTAAATGTGGCATTAACCAGCTGTTAGCACTTTGTGTGATTGAAGGGGAACGACTCAAGGGTGTTAAAATTGAGTCAGCTTATCTTGCGGTGATAGTAAGAATAGTTTCAATAAGAAACTAGGCGGCAAAAAAGTGTATAAGGCTAATAAAGAAAGGCAGACCAATACATGAAAAGACATTGATCATAGAATGTTAAATGTTGGTTCTATAGCAACAAAATGATATCAAAAGAAAAAGGTCATTGTGGTGAAACAGAAAACAAAGCATGAAAGAAATTGCCATTTTAATTTTGAGCCTAACTTGATAAAAGTATAGGTAAAGACATGGTAGATGGATTCGAGTGTGATCCTACCTGTTTCTTATTTTTCTATAGGCTCGATACCTTCCGAAAAAAATCGTGCTTTGGTTAGAGAGGACTCATCTATGCTATGCAAAGGATATTAGGGAATGTCTCTCAAAAGATACTTGAACGCTTGGTCAAGGATGAGATTATTGGGCCACAAATTTTATACGTTAGTTGTGTCAAAGACAGATGCAGAGAAACATAATTTTAAGGCTAGTCGGTCATTTGGTCTTTTAGACTATATTTATACCCAATTTTGTGGTCCATTTCTTATTGTAGCTCGTTTGCGGTAAAGATATTTTTTTGTCTTCATTGATGGGTTCTCAATGTATGATTGTATACTTAATTCACCAGAAGTCCGAAGCACTTGATGTGTATAAAATATACCAGACTAAAGTTGAAAGTAATTGGGTATAGTGATTATGTTTTTAAGATCGGACTAAGGTGGTGAGTTTTATTAGGAGAATGGATAAGGAGGGTGTAAATTGTAGTACTTTCAGTACATACTCAAAGAGCAGGGCATTGTGCCACAGTACATCATTCCTAGTTCTCTTGCGCAGAATAAAGTTGTAGAAAATATAAAGTGTAGGGATGTCTTATACAGACAGAGTTATATAATGCAAATATTAAGGAGCTTGATACTCATACTACCAATGATTATTTTATTAGACATCTTGAAAGATTAAAGGATTTGAGATTAACTGTCATATAGACCTACGAAGATTATTAGAATATGTCATATAAATTCGATGAGAGTGGCGAATCTAGTGGGAGTTTAGAATACTGTAGTTTTTTTTTTTACAGAGTAGCAATTTTTAGTATCTATTCCATTTATTTCAGGCTTCATTCCATTTTCTTTAGTGGTTTTAGTTAAAGCTCTTATTCTCACTCTTTCAGCTATTCCCACTCATTTAGTTATTTCTCTTTTGCAGTCTCTTCTTTCAGTTTCCAATCTAGTTCCTAAGCCAGTTAGCTTAGGAGATCTTCTAGAGCTTGGAAGTGTGCTGTAGTTGGTGATTTTGAGGTGTCTGGTGGATATAAGACAAAAAATTGATGGCCAAGTGCTTAAACAAAAGTTAAGTGTTGATTTCTTTGAGATTTTTCTCCAGGTTCATTAAAGGAATCTTTAAGAGTCATTCTTTCATTATTAAGTATTTATGGCTTAAGCAAGTTTTACAGTAGTGGTATCCAAAATTTTAATACAGTGGTTATTAATTGTAGGTTCAAAGAGAATATTATAGATAAATGCATATACCTCAAGTTCAGTGGGAGTCATTTTACTTTCCTTGTCCTATATGTTGATAATATTTTGCTAGGTAGCAAAGACATTCATATGATACATGATACTGAGAATTTCATATAAAGTTTTTGACATGAAGGACATGGGGTATGCAGAGTATGTCCTTGGCATTAGGATCCATAGGGATCATGCTACTGGAATACTTGGACTTTCTTTAAAGGCTTATATTAATTAAGTATATAGAAACAATTTAAGGGTGACCAAGCGTAGGAAACCCATTGACATAAAGTACATTTTCAAGCATGAGAAAGTTAAGGTTTAAGTGCTATTAAGATTTCCCCATATGGTTACAGAAAGATTGTTGCAAATTCTCTTACTAAAGTCTTTAGCCGAAGATAATAAAGTATTTAAAGAGCACGTGATTCGGATAAGTGTTCGAGAGTCATTATGTTATAATGTCTGGTATTTCTTTTATATATGCTACATTGCAGTTAGTTTTTTTATAGCTTGTGGTAACAGTTATTTTTTCTCCAGTTTACACCTTATGGTGACAGTTATTTGCATCCAAAATAAAGTTATGTTGCATCATTATTATTATCTTGATATATATGGTTTATGCACGTGCTATTATGTTTGTCTGGGAGTGATATTTCACTCATGAGGTTATTTGGGCTAGATATGAGATTGACACCATATCGGTAAATCCAAATATAAGATTTGTCTGGAGTGGTATTTCAGTCACGAGGTTGTTTGGACTAGATGTGAGATTGACACCACATTGGTAAATCCAAACATAAATATTAAAGTTTGCCTGTGGGAGTATTTCATACTCCATGAGGATAGCTTGGGCTAGATATGGGATTCGCTCCATATCGGTAAACCCTCACACTGAACAGAATGTTGGCAGTTTGCTGTAATATGTTCAGGTGACATACCGCGACGGTATGAAGTAGGACGGATAGTGAGGTGTGTGTTTAGACCACATCCAGTTTGCACATCTCATGAAATACAGTAAAAACCACTATATTTGCTTGAATCCTAGATGGAATCAGTTTTGAGGCCATGAAATTGTTTAGACTAATATATTACTTGTCTACGCATTTATGATCCACTACTGAGGAAATTTATGGAGGAAAGTGTTCAAAAGTTTTAATATATCAATTTCGATAATTGTGTTTTCTAAATAAAAATGAGTGGCCACTCGACTTTTATAAAGTGTGTTGTAATCTATAGTGTCATTTTATAAAACTTAGAGTGCATGGATCAAGTGGGAGATTGTTGGAATTTTATATATATATATATATATATTTAAATAATAAAAATTATTTTATGGTTCTATGCATTACGTTTTTTAAAGTAGGATTGCAATGTGATTATTGATACTTGATGGATTGGGTTGTACTTTTCAATTTGGTGGTCTAATTGGGAGTATGATTTTATACGGTTGGATTGTGGTTTTCTAACTTATTTGGTGTGATTTAATTCTAACCATTAATATTTAAGTTTCCATGATAGGAAGGGAGACTTAGGTATGCTTGTTTATAGAGAAGTCGTCTCCCCCTGTTGTTGTTATATATAAGGGTTTTAAAACCCTTATTCAAACCTATCGTATCGACAACTCTCAGAATGATGTAAAGCGCTCTAATGTTTTGCAAGAACTCATGGAGAATTACATGGATATTCTAAAGGTATATGTGCATTAATCATCCATCAGGTACGAGTCTAAATTACTCTTTAATTAATTAAAGAATTATTGATTTCTACGTGAATTAATTTGATTAAAACCCAACACATCAAACTTAATTATATATAATGACATGCATAGAAAGTTACTGTCTCTTTATGGTTCGTGACAGGTTTTGTATAAATTGAAATACCTCAACCTCAGTCATTCTTATTTCTTGATCAAAACTCCAGACTTCATTATGGAGGGTGGTAAAAAAACGTGTTTGGCTTGCCGGAACCCCTGCCAACCGAAAAACCGATGACGCCTGAGAAATCACAAATCAAAATACATAGTGATTGGTAGAATTTGGTCTCATTAGTTCATTTTTTCCTTAATTTTTTTTTAACCCAGTTTTTTTTTTTCAGAGATGGAAATAAGATTGTTTGAGTTCTGTTTGGCCTGAAGGAACCTATTGGGTTTCTGGTTGTATACATGAAATTTCAGCTATGTACTGTAGTTTGCCTGCTACAGTTTTTACTTGGAGTTTGTATTTTTTTTTTCGTCTGTGTGACTCGAGAATAATAATGTAACCAAATGGGATTGGATGAATTTGAAAAGATCTGTTACATGTTAAAAATAATAATAAGAAAAGAAATATTAGGAATGACGTATAAAATTTGCACAATATCTAAAATTTTCAGTGCAAGATAATGATTAGTTCTCTTTTCCTTTGGCTGCTTACATTGTTATCTGAGTTCTTTTTACATTGTTATCTGAGTTCTGTTTGGCCTGAAGGGAACCTATTGGGTTTCTGGTTGTATACATGAAACTTCAGCTATGTAATTGAATGAGGTTGTCAGTCCTGTATCACCATGAAATTTGCACAAGATAAATGATTAGTTCTTCTCTTTTCCTTTGGCGGCTTGAAAGTAAATGGAAAATTTGTGAACATTGAAAACAAAAAATTTTACATTATTTTCTCAGCAAAAAAAAAAAAATAATAATGTCAATAATGCTCCTTTTGTGGTAGTAACTAATTTGAATTGACATTCAAAATCCTCAAACATTCGGCCAGGGGAACATCCTTGAGTGACTGAAAGCTTGAGACAAAACTAACTGCTATTTTCCCTAATCCAATACCACTAACCCTGAGCCTAGTTAAATTCCTCCGTTTCGGATTATAAGAAACCAGAGTACCAACATTACTTGACATCAAGATCTCTCCATCGTTCCAAATTGTGATCGGTTGAAGTGGGGAACATGTGATCCCCATCTCCAACAGAATTGTGGTATTCAAAATGCAGTCTTTACTCCAAGACGTAGCAACTCCATAATGTTTCATCGACCACAGATCAATCTGATGCTCGCGAGTTGCAACTACACAGAGGCAGTTCCCCAGCACTCCCAACCTGGCAAAAGATTCCAAACCCGGAGGCAGTGGAATTGAGCCGAATTGTTCGTCCTCAACATTAAAAGAAAATATAAGTTGACAACGATTCACAGCCCAATGGATAGCCCCGTTCAAAGTAACCCCAACCTCACTCTCTGATGGAAAAAATGATAACGGGGCTAACGGGGAATCTCCCAGATTCCTCCATACACCAGATGCAAGACTAAAAACCTCAACCATTTTACATACAATCACGACCTTGTAGTGGCCGGTGGCCGAACTACACCCAAACCCATAAGCCACACCTTCAAAATCTCTCTCTTTCTCGGTTTTGGGTTTTGGAAGGGCAACATATTCTCCCGAAATTGGGTTGAGTATGTTTACATTGTTATGGTAGTGATCCGAGAAACAGAGTAAACCATTGCAAGAACCCAAAAAATTTAGTCTAAAAATGGACGACATTGCCGGTAGAAGTTTTCGGAACCACAACGGTCTGTGACGTTGATTAGTGTAGTTACAGACATGGTCCTGTAGTTCAACCAAGGAAAAACCATTGAGCGATGGAAACACAATATTGATGAAGGGGGGTGATGTTGCGAGACGAACACTACTGAAATAAGGGTCTAAGAGTAAGTTGAACCAAGTTTTGCAGACGCACCTGGACTGTAAGAGGGTCCTGATTGGAAGCCGAGAAAGAATGTCCAAGATGATGAAGTCGGGCAGATACATTATGGAAAAACCACGAGTGTGAGAGTGTTTCTTGCTGCTATCTCTGTGTTTGGAAAGTGATTTTATAAGTTTGGAACAGCTCGAATTGGATTAGGAAAGGGATTTGGAACGGCTTGAATTGGATTAGGAAAGGGATTTGGAACGGCTTGAATTGGAATAGGAAAGGGATTTTCGAGCTGCTGCTGGAATAAAAAAACACTTTTATCTAAATAAATATTTTCAGTAAAAAATCATATTAAGTATTTGGTTACACGTTACTTTTTAAAAATACATAATTGTTTAAAAATACATAATTGTTTAATTTATTCTAAATACTTCTATTGCTAATTTTACAATAATATCTGATGTCACAATATTTAATAATAGCAACTTTATTAAAGAAGTTTTAATGAAAAACAATTACCTAAAATATTTAACATTGCCAGTTTTAAAAGCTACAAATTCTAACTGAATTCAAATGTTCTATTGAACTAAATTTGGCAACATTAAAAACGCTTTTAATAGTTACCAGACATATCTAAACATATTTTTTTGTAATAAAAATGCTTTTAAACTAAAGAAGCAATTCCAAAGTGGCTCTTCATATATTTGGAACGGGTGGGATTTTAAAAGAGACGAATTTCACGAAAAATTTAAAAACTTGGACGAATCCTAAAAAAATTGGAAGGATTTGAAAACGTCTTTTTACAGTCTCTTCTCTCCAATTCAAACTAATTTATCAAGCTTTCACTCCCTCTCATCTTCCACGAAATACAATTGATCAATCTTCAATTTTTCAATTGTATTTCACTCCACCTTGGGATATTATATCCCTTTTGTATATAGTGAAGGTATTTCAATTGTATTTCACTCCATCTAAGTGGAAGCTACGAATCTCTCTCTGGAAGATTTTGTGTGGCTATTTTGTGAAGGATTTTCTTTAAAATGTCTACCGTCAACCTTAATTATGGATAACCTGGTTGCCATTGACTTGAACTATAGCAACCTTAAACAAGTTTGGAGAGGAAGAAAGGTATGAGACTACTACTTCAAACTTATTTATATATAATGACATGCATAGACATTTACTGCCTCTTTATGATTCGTGACAGGTTTTGTATAAATTGAAATACCTCAATCTCGGTCATTCTTATTTCTTGATCAAAATTCCAGACTTCACGAGGTTCACCAGTCTTCAGAAATTGTTGCTTAATGATTGTACAAAGCTGGTAGATGTTTACCAATCTATCGGGTGTCAGAAAAATCTTGTTCCCTTGGATCTGAAGAATTGTCATAATCTTCAGAAGATTCCCGCTAGCATTTTCATGTTGGAATCTCTCCTTTATTTCAACCTGTTCGGCTGCTCCAAATTAGAGTGGTCAGCATACTTTCAAGGATCGCAACCTGAATCAAGCTTTTCGTCGTTACAGTTGTCAAGTAGCATTAGGAAATTATATATGGAAGACTGCAATTTAACATTTGTTCCTAGCGAAACTGGTAGTTTGGTGTCCTTGCAATTTTTGAATCTTAGCGGAAACAAAATTTCCAACATACCAGCTACCATCGCTAGTCTTCTGCGACTGAAAGCCCTCTATGTGAACCAATGTTCTCGGCTTGAATCGATTCCAGCACTTCCAGAAAATTTATTAGGATTGAGTGCAAATTATTGCACATCATTGCAGAGCATATCAATGGAATCAAAAGTAGCAGAAGCACCGTTTTACGGTTGTCCCAAATTACTCAACAACAATTTTGCATATAATTTTAGAAGAAATCTCCTCCGTTGTCATCAGGGACGCTAACTCTGTCTACATCATGGCAAAGCATATCAATGCATGGAATTTTGTTATTCAAACGTGCAGCATTGCTGCCTACTGCCTTTATATATGCCCAAGACCCTTCCCATCTAGAACCAATATTGGGACAAGAACCCGTACTCCAACCCCTTAGTATAACGTCTCCTCCCTTAAAGTGGGTAGGTGAGGTATTTGAGTTTCACAGGCATTTGTGCATGTGTGTGAGTATTTACCTTAAGAAAAGAAACCAGGCCTTATTTTAAATGACAAATGTTCGAGATATGTACAAAGAAATGTCATTTAATTTGGGAAGTGAAGGATTGAAGTCTCTCTTAAAGTACTCTGGGGCTCGTGTGTTAAGAAAAATAAAATTTGGAATTTCAAAACCAACTTAAATAACCTAGTATCCAATTCATCTCTTCAAACAACTATGGATTAATCAGGTTATAATTTAGAATATCCAAATGAATGCACACATCATCTAAAAGTTTCAATGCAAGGTAAATGATTAGTTCTTCTTTTTTCCTTCCCTTTTGACTGTTTGGTTAGATGAAAATAGTACAAAAAGAAAGCAAATGGAAAATTTGTGAACACTTTCTGTTTGATCAGGAGGAAAAGGAAAATTTTGAGGAAAAATTATATTCAATAACCACTTCACTTTTTCACAAAATTTTCTAACCAAACAAAATAAATAAATAAATAAATGTATTTCTTTTACCGGTACTACTTTGAATTGACTTTAAGTGTAAGGTTTCAATTATATATATATATATATATATATATATATATATATATATATATTGTTAATTAAAGAAAAAGATTTCTTTTTTAAAATGGTGGGACTCATATGTTATTACAAAACTTATAATGGCATAAATCCATTATCTCTCACGATCGTTCTGTCTTGTCTTCTCTCCCTCACTGATATTTCTTTTTAATTTTTCTCATACAACTTCAACTTTTGATTTCTTCTTCAATCTTTAGAATTTTTAAGAGCCGTTTGCGGCTATTCGAAGCCCACGACGAGATCAACAAGTTGATAGGAGCAATTCCTTGGTTGGTGCACTATAGGAGATTGAAAAATCCTAGGGTTTGAGGTGAAAATTGGGGGTTTTACATATAAGGGGTTCCTAATCCATGAGATTCTTGCTCCCTTATGAATTATTCTTTGTTAATTATAGTTAAACATGCTTAATTTGAGATGAATACCTCTAAAATGATTTGATTTTGTATATGGAATTCATGATTATGTGTATATGTGGATTTGTGTGAAAAACATGCTTAAAATGTTGATTTTTTATGCTGGTGTGTTTGATAACTTGTTAAAACATACTATGTGGAAAGCATGTATACGTGTTAATTTTTCATGCCTATGGTGTTAGTAACTTATTAGAAATTGTTAAATGGAAGCATGTTAAATTGTATAGTATAAAAGTCTTTCATTTGTCATAGCATTTGAGAAAGTATGTAATGTTCATGCATGTCATTGGGCATGAAAATGGGGAAAATTATTTTGAAATGAAAAAGGAAATTTTGGGAAGAAGTTTTGATTAAAATGGTTTAGAAAAAATCCGGTCGCCGCGGGGTTACCAAAGGGCCGGTGTGTTAATTTAGCCTAAAGGGAATTAGGGAGATTGCCTTAGGAGATGTAATTCACATAGGAGCAAGAAAAACGGGAATTAAGAGCCCCTACCTCAAATTTACACAAAACCCTTAAAATGGGTCTTGAATTTCGAACTCCAAGGAGGGCACCAAATATGGAATTGTTCGTATGGATGCGTAGAGCTCGTAGTGGGCTTCGTTTTGCCTCAAACGGCTCTTTAAAACACTAAGAGATGAGGGAGAAATCAAGCTTAATTGTGTAGAAGAAAAAAAAAAAAAAAAAAAACAAGCGGGCAGAGAGGGAGTAAGCCGAGAGAGAAGAAAAAAAGAAAAACAGTGGGTCTGTAATGACCCATTACCCATTCCATAGACTTAAAATTGGAGTGGGTCCCACCCATTTTTTTTTCTTTTATCTTTTTCTTTTTCTTTTTCTTTTAAATTGCACCACACACAGACATTACATTCTCCCCAACTTTAAAAGATTTCATCCCCGAAATCAAGACATTCCTGAGGAAGAGAATAACGCTGGGTACTTGGAACGAACCTCTTGTTCAAGCTCCCAAGTAGCCTCCTCGACTCCGTGGTGTCTCCAAAGAACTTTCACTATTGGTATCGTCTTGTTCCTCAACACCTTCTGCTAAGTGTCAAGGATCTGAACCGGTCTCTCCTCATAGGAAACATCCTCATCAATGTCCACATCTACCAAACTCAAAATGTGAGATGGATCCGGCTCGTACTTCCGTAACATCGATACATTGAAAATATTGTGGACCTTGTCCAACTGTGGTGGCAAAGCAAGTCTGTAGGCAACCTCTCCTACACGGTCCAAAATCTCAAAAGGTTCTGTGAATCGTGGCGATAACGTACCACTCTTCCCGAACCTCAACAACCTCTTCCGTGGAGAAACCTGAAGAAAAACGTGGTCTCCCACCTCAATGGATAACGGCCGTCTCCACTTATCCGCATAACTCTTCTGTCGGCTCTGAGCTATAAGTAACCTCTGTCTTATTAACTTAAACTTCTCAGTAGTCTCGAGTACAATGTCGGGTCCTAAGGCGGCTGTCTCGCCTACCTCAGTCCAACAAATAGGAGACCTACAAGGTCTACCATACAACGCCTCAAATGGAGCCATCTGAATGCTCGCCTGATAACTGTTGTTAGCAAACTCAATAAGTGGAAGGTGATCCTCCCAACTACCACCCAAATCAAGCACACATGCTCGAAGCATATCCTCTAAAATCTAGATAGTACGCTCCGACTGACCGTCAGTCTGTGGATGGAATGCCGTACTCAAATGCAACGCTGAGCCAAACGCTACTTAAAGTCCTTCCCAAAACTTCAAAGTGAACTTGGCATCCCTATCTGAAACAATGGTTACTGGAACTCAATGCAACCTTACAATCTCCTTCACATGAAGAACACCAAGCTTCTCTGCATCATCTGTTGCCTTAATAGGCAAAAAGTGAGCCGTCTTAGTCAATCTGTCAATGATGACTCATACGGCCTCATTGCCCCTCCGTGACCTTGGAAGACTTGTCACAAAATCCATAGCGATATGTTCCCATTTCCACTGCGCTATAGGCAATGGTTGCAATAAACCGGCTAGTCTCTGATGCTCGGCCT